CCTCAGAGCTGGTCAAACCACTCTATGACAAAAATAGAAATACTCATATATGCCACATTAATAAACCACATTCTTCACCAATTAAGGATAAATGTCCATTAATTGTTAGCCGACCTTCTAGAACTCTTGAAGCTTTCCACGTATGAAGACATCTTCCTACTTAGAACTTCTCTAATTCTCACAGAATGAAAATAATTTAAATGATAATGTTCTGTTCAAAAGGAAGTATAACCATGGCTATGAAGTTGTTACCTCAGTTTTTAGAGCACATCGCTTCATTTTTATGTTACCTTCCCTGATCCCTGTCTTTTCAGGCTCATCAGGGACAGAACCAACCGGTTTCTGCACATAGCACAAACAGTAAAGATTCTGCACACAGAATCAAGGGAAGGTGAAAGCAGAAAACCATCTTCCTGTCTGCTGCGTGGACATCCCAGCAGCGCTCTGCCCCCTACTCAGCTCACATTATTTGCAAAGTTCTCAAAACCAGACAAAGCAATAATAAAGATTACTGGGCCTCTAAATTGCCAACGCGAGCTAAGAAATGAGCAACCTGAATACCTAAGTTCCTGGTATTTGCTGTGAAGAGTGAGTGTAAAATTCCTCGGTGTTACAGGCAAGGCTGTTCCACTATCTAGCTCCATTTACCCTTTGAATAAGAGGCTGTTCAGTAATTTCCCCAACAGTAACTCAAAGCCATAACCTTTTTGATTTGAAAGGCCATCTGATAACCGCACCAGAGAACCTGAATGTAACTGGAGAAGGCAGAACAACAGGGAAAGGATATGAAAGATGGAAAAGCAGCAGTACTTCATAGTTTCTCTATGGACTGGTCTGTGACAGTGTAGGAAAATAAAAGAAAACTTCTCCTTGCTAGCCAGATGCTGTGATGATTCCCTAAACACACACGTTTTCAATGGTAATTTTTGAATGAAACGGGGATAGACATTAGATAAACATTAGGAAGTAGCGCGCTCCCAGTGCACTCCAAACTACCTTGGGGAATGACACTGCAAAATGAATGAGGTAGCACTGGAACAGCTGCCCAGTCGGATTACTTGGGATCCAGAGGGAATTCTGAATGAAGTACCACACTATGCTACAAGATTTCCAGGCTGCAGGACCAGTTGTTCGTACACCCCACAGCACTGTTTTAGACTACTCTTCAGCACCCGAGCCCATCCACTTCAACTGAGTGTTTTGGACAGTACTTGGGTGCCTGCAAGGGGGCAAAAATAAAGAGGATTAGGAAGGAACTGACAAGAAGCCAAACCAGCAAATATTAGAGCTTGCATTAGAAGTGATAATTGCAAAGCAAAGTTTCAATCCAATTTGAAATGGATTTAGAGAAGATGGAACAAAGATAGAAGATTAGAAGTAGATTAAAAGAAGATGGAACAAAGGATATATAAACAAGATTGACTTTATTTTTATTTAAATTTTACATACAGTAACTTTTATTCCGGCTACTGGGGCCAACTGACCATCTTGCAGAACAGTAAATTTTAAATTCATTACACCTAAAAATGCAGAGAGAATCTCTGAGAACAGTCTACACTTGTTTTAATCCCGAAAAGCATATTAGGAACGACAGTAAGGAAAAAGCATATAAAAAGGTATTTAAAAATGCAGGTTCATTTGTAATAATATGGTTATAGATTCTCCAAGAATCTCCCCATTATCAGCATTTTAATGTTTCTTTCAACTACAGATTAGCCATTACAGCAGACATTATAGCTTAAAAAACAGAAATAAGCAGTCTTGCAAGTAGCGTGGCAGGCTCAGTGTCAGAAAGTGAAACGTCACAGAATACTGGAAACATTCACGATGGAACCCACATATTTCCATGTGTATCGGGGGCATTAGTGTAAGGAATATTCCAAATCCATGGTTGATCTGTAAACGAAAACAAAACAGGCTCATGACAAACTCAGTTATTAAATGTAAAATTTTGATCCTCCTCTCCCTTTGGAGGAAGAGGAAGGTCAAAATTCCCACTGATTTTCACATAACCCCATGCGCAATTTCAGTTTACTCGAAATTTTTGTTCAGCTATTTTTTAAAATGGTAAGATTCACAGGTTTCAAAAGGCTGTGCTTTCCCCCCAAATATTATTTTAAATATAATTACCATAACCCAAGATACTCCTCACCAGCTGTAGAAGATCTGTATTTCAGACAGTATACAAGAACAGTAATGCAGCCAAATTTGGTTTGGCCCATAGGCAGCAAGTTTTGTGCTGCGTATCTCTTAACCCAATGGAATTATAAATAAGTGCTGTAACATATTAATATTTTTCACACGGACAGTAAGAATTCAGTATCTAAGAACGATGCTGCCTGAACTGATGTTCACGTTCACACCTCACTTCTTCAAACATCACATCTTTAGATGAGCAACAGGTTTGCAGCAGACAGTTCCCTCCCTCCACTTCTCGGAATACAGCAGCTATTCCCACTCGTGGGAAGGAGAAAAGGCAATGCAGCAGGAGCCAACTGCTAGCTCTGCAACCTGCTCCAGGCTCTTCCTCCTACCACATACATGTTGCAGAAAAGCAGCTGGCCTATGAAGCCAAGCTATTATTCTATTTCTCTCAGGCTACTCCTACTGAAATACAGAGAAAACTCCTTCAAACCTTCCAGTGATTTTTCTCAAATAAGAAGTTTATATAAATCTAGCCTGCTTCTTCTCTCCATCTACAAAATGAGCCCTGAAGGAAGACAGTGACATTAATCTGTACAATGCATAGATTAAACTGAGTTGTACTGAGGATGATGAGTAGTTCATTTATCAAAACCAAGCTACTCATCTACATGCTATACTATGTGTACTTGCTGAAGAAGATTTGCTACATGCTCGCCAATTGAAATTTTAGATAAGCTATTATGATTACTGTTGTCCAGTTTTAAGTTTACAGGATCCAATGCCAGCTCTCACAATATATGAAGGGAGAATTACTGTAGCAAGAAGAGGAGAGTAAGAAAGTGACAGAAGCAATAATGAAAGGACGTATAAATTACACAACAGCACACTGCGACAAGTACCGCGCCAGTTAAACACGGGGCAGGGAGAGCATTCCTACCAAGTGCTCGTTACTACTTGCCACTAGAGTGCGTTTGATTCTAGTACTGTAGTTCGTATGTCGCAGTGAAACATATCCCAGCTATGCAAATGTTTTACAAAAGTGTCTGTTTAGAGTAGTAAGAGGGTAATAGGAAAATGTTTTAAATTACAACAAAATTGAATCTGCTTGACCTGAAAAAAGACTTTACGTTTAGAATTTATGAAGACTGATAGGGATGTTACAAGTCGCAGGAATGTGATCACCAGAGAAAGAACAGGCTGTGCAGTAAATGCCATCTTTCACATAATGTTATTACAAGAGGACAATAAAAGCAAACATCCATGTCTTCCCCTAATTTAAAATCATGATACAGCTTCTAGGTGGAAGAAGTAGTTGGCTAGCTTTTGGTTACAATGGATATGTGATTTCCAAGCACAAAAAAATAAAAGGCATCAGAAACCAGAAGAAACCATAGCACTTAACTCACAGTGCACTGCCAAAAAATGTCTCTAGGTTTCTGGGTCAACTGCAGGATATCCAGACTTTGAGTGATCTCTTAAAAAAAAAAAAGCACCATTATTTCCCTAAGCTGCTTGTATCAGTCTCCTGCTTGAGCGCCATGTGTACCTTTTGTATTTTAGGTGAATACCTTACCACACAGTAAACATTAATAGTTATAAGAATGAGTAGAGAATAAAGCAAATGTTGGAAAAAGCATTGAGGATTTCAAGCATACATTCAGATTTGATCATTGACCTCTATCCATGACGTCAGAATAAACCCAGTTCCACTCAAGCGCTGGAATCTGTCACTTGGAGTACATTATGCAGCTTGGACCTATCCATCTTCGCTACCATCTGCAGTTACTCTGTTTAATTCAGCAAAACATACAGGCAGAGGAAGACTTGGATGTACAGAAATAACTTCGGGCACCCCTTAAAGCACCCTGAGAGGCCTCAATACCTAATTTAGTTCTTATTTATTGTGGCTGTCTTAATAAAATTTTCTTAAGGTAGCTATTAACGTACTTGAAACTTTGTTCTATTAATGGGATGCTGTTGGTTTTATAAAACACCTGATACTATTTTAATAAGCCATGTGTAAAACTGTTGCTGAAACAAATTATAATTCAGTTATTTTTAAAATGTCAGATCCAATTTAAAATCATTTATCACTTTTAAAAGGAGCTATAGCAGCAAGAGAAAGACAATGACTGTGTACAAACACTGTATGACCATAGCTGCTTACTGTTGCACACTAAAATGATTACCAAACTTTAGGAAGTTAAATCCTTTGATCTTCTGGGGGGAAAAAAAAGTTAACTGCTCCCTGTTTATATAGCCCCACTATATATTTTTAAAGTGTGCTCAACACACCTACCTTCCACACCTTTCAAGTTCAGTTCTTCATTTCTGATACCCTAATTTGTCTCCACTGGACCTTATTGGAATGAGTGTTATCTAGTGACCCGGTACCACTGCTTCCGTCTTGCCTCACTTATAAGCAGCAGAACTCTAGCACTGTCGTTAGCGCACAGTAACATGAACGGGGCCATTCCTACCCAATGCTACTTTACGATTACCTGAAATCTCAGACAAAGCGCTATCGCAGTTATACTCAGGCACTTTTGAAGATTCTCTCACAACTGCGTAGCCTATCACATTTCATTTAAAGACAGAGAGGCCCTGAAGAAAAAGACAAGTTTTTTAAAAAGTACACCTGATTAATTACTCTAAGAATCCCTCCCATTTTGAGACCATGTTACAGAATATGAAATCCTGAGCTGACAATGGTACAACAAGGTTGTTTTGCAAATTTTAACAATAGTATTTTACAAATGCAATATATTGTGTAGGTCAAAAACATATCGGCAAGCCATCTCAAAACCTCATGTTCTCATAAGTATGACAGATGGCAGTACAGTATGTACAGCCAAACCCAGAAAAGTTTGTGAATTACAGGAACATGCAATTGAATAGTAAAGTATAAAATACAATTAAAGCATCTTTGTGATCCTCTTCCTACAGTTTAAAATATAAGCGTCTTTTGCACTGTGAGTGGAGATCTGGCTGAGAGCTATTCCTGGTTGGTTTCTTAACACAGAGACTGGATTCTTACATCATCTTTCACAATACTTCATGGGTCTTCCAACTGAAAAATGTAGCTTTGAAGTAGTAACTGTTCACATATACAGAAAGGTTGCTCACAAATAGCCAGAGTTCTTCAAGTCATTCTACATATACATTCGAACGCGGCAAACTTACTCCCTGCTGCATGAGGCTGGAAAGTTCTCCCTTTCAGCATCTGCAGGAGGTGCACACTGTACTTCAGTCCCTTTTCTCCCCTCCCTCTGGATGAGCATGGCATTTAAAAAGGAACTCATCTTGTTCCTCTCAATGCAAAAATCATACCTGAAAGATCTCAAGAAGGGGGAAAGGCAGACGGGGTGTAGATGTGGGATCTATAATAATATTCACAAACAAGGTAATAATTCCTGAAGGCCAGGACAATGACCACTCGTTTGGGAAAAAAAGAAGAAAACAAAACCCAGTAGTGCAGTTTAAAAGCAGGATCTGCTTTGTTTCTCAAAGTATTGATGTGATGAGAAAAAAAAGTCCTTTGCACTTTTCTGAGGCCTTTCCCAAGTTGTTTTAAAAAAATCCCTTGATATACTTATGTATTAAAGTTTCAAGGTCCTCCCATACAGCAGATGATTTCCTTAGTCAGTAAACTGTGTAATATCTAAATCACAAATTAAGTGATATTCCTCAACTACAGCAAGCATCTTGTACCTTTTCCCATGCAAAGGTAGAAAAAAACCCTGGGGCTGTATCCCTTTGTGTAATGTAAGTGTTGTAAGAAACTTCTCAACAGGGTGAAATGAAAGCGATCCGTCCTCAAGCACTCTAAATGAAATGCTGTGCCTTCATGAGAGGATCAGGTCAACTTGTATTGGTAAGGGAGATAATAGCAATAATGCAACTGAGGTGTGACAATGGAGCTCAATGAGAAGATAATTTTATACAACAAAATAGAAGTACTCATCTGAAAGATTCTAGCGGGAAATAAAAATCTGAATATTATCAAAGGCACAAAGAAATTTTATTTATAAAGATATCTTGCTAATAAGATTGGCTGTTGTGTGCCTGTTTCCCAAATACCAGACTGGATCACTTTCTGTTTTCCTTCCAAGGAACTCTCAAATTATATTGCTGCTCTATAGGTTTCTTTTATCTTAGTATCATCAATACATTCAGCTTTGTCATAGTCTTTTTGGTTATGAATGCCTGAATCTGTTGGTTAACAACAGAGGAGTTGAGGAGATTGTTTATCTGTCAAGATATTAAGTACTATCAGCCACCAGATAATTTTATTTTTTAAAATTCTTTAAATGTTTTGCCCTGAAGATGCATCTGCTGCCCACAAATGGCCTTCTGCTGTTCAGCTGACTATTGGAGGTGAACAACTGCAATTGCTCAAAACAGCAATTTGCAAAGAGTTAATAACGTACACGTTGCACACAACAAATGTTATCTGCTAAAAATTAATGAGGTCCTTTGTCACTTCACAGTAGGAATGATCTTAATCTTTATTTTAAAACGGCCAGATGTAAAACATGCATGTTATTCCCTGCAGCAAGAGAAAGATGCAAGCTATGTATATCATGCATAATAAAACTGTTTTGTGCTGGTAATTTAAAGCAGCTGGGAAGAAATAGGCTAAAGGAAAAATGACCAAGTAGAAGTTCTCTGTGCAACCTTAACTCTGATCTGTTAGGATGACATATTGTTACATTTCCTCAGACAACAAATCTTGCACTCTGCACAAGATG